TCTGCATAGAAATTACAGCCAGGGAACCTGTAGCAAAAGAGGAGCATTCAGTAATATTCATCAATCAGGTTTTACCTTTTAATTCCCCAAGAAACTGTTAGACGCTTGCTGAGGACAATGGCTTCAGTTAGCCATAATATCCAAATGCCATATGGGAGAATGAAAGGGAGAATCTGATTGGATATTGTAGACAAAAAGAAGAGATCATGCCTTTAGATATTTATAAAGTAAGTGTATTGCAAAGATTTAGGACTGTTTAAAGGATATGAGGGCAGAATGGATATTACCTGGGGAATAATGTAGTATTGATTAACCCTATAGAAATGTTTCTCAGCTAGAATGGTCTAAAAACATCCGATCTTTCACCTACTTAATATATTTGAGTAAATATGACTACCTGAAGGGTTATATTGCTGCTAAACATTTTATTTCTAATAGAGATGTGTCATTTACCTTTGTATACATAGAGCTAAAAAATCCTATGAAGAAAACAGCCCTTGGCCGTAGATTTCTTGGAAATGATATAACATGTAAAAGTTACTGCTCCAGGCAGGTCCCCTTGTGCCCACAAAAAAAGATTTTCTTGGTGCACATTCAGCTTATCACTGAGACATATAGAGCCTACAAATACCAGGTTGATGGAACTTCAAGTGCTCAATGCAAATATCTTTGTTCTATAAAAATCAGGGTATCAAGCAAAAGGAATTACTAACGCACTTCACGCTTACCTGTGCCTAATCATAGAGTTTAGAATTAAACGATTAGGAGTAGCGTTACAGAATCGTGTCCATGTGCCTGCTACCCTGTTATTTATGGAATAAAGGTCTATTGAGATGCATTGAGAGCTCAAAGTGCGGTCAATCTGGTATTTGCACAGTCTATAGGTCTCTTGGCCTAAAGTAAAACCAGCATAAGGCCTGAGTAACACAAAACGAGCATGTGATACAAAAATGCATAAGAGTAGGTTATCTTCAGCGAAACTGCTTACGTAAAAAATTATCTTGGTCCCGCCCCTTCCTGACTCCCAAGACTCTTGGTTGCTTACCCTAGGGTTGGCAGTCTCATTCCCCCAAGCGAGTGAGCCTGGGAAATTGGCCAAGGCCAAATATAGTTCCCCAGGAAAAGAGTATATACCTCCACTGGTCTAATTCTATGGATCTACTGACCGTTTTTGCAGTTATTTATTTTGGTCATGGCATGCTTGGCCCAAATTGCCCAAATATGACAGATTTACTCTAAATTCAGAGTACAGAGGAAAACTCCAAATATCCTCTGCTTTCTGCAAACTGACCTGCAAGACACCCTTGCAACATTAAAACGAACATCAAGCCTAATTTGGGCACCCACTGAGGAACAGGAAATGGGTCAGCAGGTTGCTAAAATGGTATTAAAGGGCCACTAAACAGTTAAAAAAGGTAAACAAAGTTAGAAGCTGTGAATAACACTTAAGAGTATTAAACATTATGGGTAAGTAACAGCACAAGTGCTCCAATAAGAAGTTGGTTGTGGTCACTCCCAACTATACCAATTTCTTTGTAAATATCTTATTTTTTTCAACATATCCTGAAACTTTTACATATTCATCAATGAATGTTACTAAAACATCTTTTACTTACATTAACTTTGAAGTTATGTTTAGTGGCCCCTTAAAATACAGACTTAATGGGATCCTGTGCTTTGCCCATGCAGGGCAAAACAGCAAGTTAATGTAACAGACACTACCGCGCCAGCTGCACATACCCTTCTTTCCCTTCCCTGGGAATAGGTATAGTCAGTACTTCCAGATATGGGTGGCATGTTACCTACTGTCCTTCTGCCAATGTAACCTCTCTGGTGCCCAGTAGTCGACATTTCAGCATTGTCACATAGGGGTGAAGAGAGTGTTCTCAGTCCTGTGTAAGCAGCAAGTTGTGACTTGATTGGCAGGGGAGTGGATGGAAGATGACTTTGTGTAGATAGGCTGGGCAGTAGTTAAGCAAACATGTAAATTTGCCCTACATGCACAAAGCACAGGTTCCCTTTAAATCTCTGGTATTCAATTCCTTTACAATTTGGTATAGCAAAGCTGGGCTGCCCATCCACTAGGATGCAATATCTGTGCTGAGCACCCGCAATATGGAAATTTAAACTAACGACTGCAAAAGGAAGTGCTGAGACATGCCCCGAGGTCATCATATAATGCACCGTGGGGTTCCAGGCAATCTATAGAGAAGCCCCCCACAGTATACTGTGGGAGGTGCTGGGCAAAGCTGTTTCACAGCTCCCTCAGTTCTTTAACCAGCAAGTTATTTATTGAAGGCATGCAAGAATTTTGGGGGTAGCAGTGCACTTAAAAAGGTAATACTACCACTCGATAGCTAAATAGGCCTAATTATTTTATTTTTTTTAGCAAGTTTAGTTTTTCAGTATAAGTCTTATGACAGGTCTACTTTAAGCTCAACACCCCCATTCCAGTACATTTGATACAGAGTGGCAAGCCATTTATTGCCCATCTATCGCAAGGCTATTTCAATAAAGATTCAATCAATATATTTGCCCCAGGCCTACCAGAAAAGGGTGCCATATGTCTCATGAAGTCTGGTTATATGCTGTAACTTATATCATCTCCCATAGCATTCTAATAATACACCTTCATTTAAAAAGGGGATTCTACTTTCATACTGATGATTCCAAGTTAACATTCAATAAACACAAAGAAAAGACAAATTAATATTTTAGGGTTCCCAAAGACATGGGGTGAAGTTGAAGGGCCAATCTATCTAACATCCTATGATATAAGCATGCAGGATCGTATCAGTTGTGCATCCATGTTTGCACACTGAGCAGACACCCGCAGCACTGAAAATATCTTTGAGAAACCACTTTCGGACAATTTGTTCATCCCACAGACCAGCTGGCCAGGGGGCATCAACAGGGGTCAACGGGCATAGATCATCTTATTCCAAAGGGTAACTTTACATTCATTATAAATGTTGGGACATATTGTAGCTTATATTGTAGCTTGTAAACCTTCTTTCGCCCCTAATTTTAAAAAGCATGGTATTATAGTGCAAACTTTTTTGCTTCACTCAAGAAATGTCATAAATACTTATTCAGAGCTACAATATCTATAGAGTCCAAGGTGTATCCAAACTTTAATACCGGAAGTGCTGTGTTCCCAGGGAAACAAATAAATATTGAACATTTCCCATTCTTCTACAGATTGTACGAAATACTAGAACAAGATAGGTAATAAATGCTTAATAAGCATTCCAGTGTCCTGTTTTACAGTATCAAAATTATTCAAAAAGTGATCCATTTTAAATCACCAAACCTCACCCACAAAATTGCAGTGAGCAGTTTTGAATAGTCATCTTGCAAATGCACATGGGTCACTAAATGGGAGCACTATACTATGATCATTATGATTACATGCTCAGCCCAAATAGACTGGTGTTTTATTTATGGACAAACATTGGAGGGAAGAATCAACTATTATCTCTTTAGATGGTTAAAGGCAGGACCTTTCCAAAATGTCCTGATCCATTAAAGGCAATGCCTCCTGCCACATTCTCTGTAATCTAACATAAAATATCCAGTAGGGTCAGGAATGTTGCTTTATAAAGCTGTAACTGGTGGGCAGAGGTGGAATCAACAGAAGACAGAAGAAGGTAGCTGGTAGTCAAATACTTCTAGGTGGACTGACTCTTTCACGGTTATTTTTTGGGTAACTAGTGTCACAAATGGGCCCATCTGTACTTCAGGTGGCACACTTTTCTGACATGAAATGCTGGTATGTTGTAGATCATCATAAAGATCTGGTTAACAGTGAATAATCCCATTATTATCTAAACCTGGAACAAGCAGTTGTACTGACTGTAGTAGCAATGTTTATGTAACCACTATTGGCTCTTGTTATGTATTGCTAATTGCTGATTCTCCTTTGCATCTTCATGGCATTTCAGAACTTATTCAAAAAGAAAGTGCAAAGAGTAATGGCCGTGTGCACATAGCAACCAATCAGATTTCAACTTATTGTGGTCTGTTCTGATATGATCTCTCATTGGTTGCTATAAATGACTCTGCTTTGTGCTTCCTCGTGGCTCTTTGCACCGCTTTATTGAATAACCTTGCAAATCATCCAAGTTCAAGATCAACATTGCTAGCAAATAAAACACATTTAATGGTACATAGAAGCTGGTTGGTTCCAAACCTAAACAGTTGAGTGGTACATGGAATTGTCTCACGTGTACAATGTTGTTCAGTAAAGCTGCAGTCTTTCATAACATATAGTGCAACAAAACAAAGTATCAGAAGTAAGAACTGTTATCATTGCCTCTACTAGTCAATCACATCCACTCTTTTATGTTCTCGTACAGCATTGGAATGAATTTGACTGGCAGCTATAGGCAAGCAGATGTGTTCTTCCTTCAGATACAAAAATAAGGCTTAATGTAAATATCGCCATCCAAGGCTGAGCTGCTTTAACAATTTTCAGCTCAGCTACTAAGTGGTTTGAGGTTGCCTGTGTGATCTGAAACTGTAATATACATCAGCTAAGCTACCCATGATTTGTTTAACTCCCAGGTCCATATAAACCTTCCATCGTCTGTACTCTTTGGTCCCAGCAAATAAACAAATGCCATAAACATAGTATGGTGGCCTGAAGATAAGTGCTATCAATGTATTATTTTTTTAAAATTTTTGTCAGCTGCAGTGCTTAAATGTGGAGACAAATCATGTTATGTGTTGGTGGCAAGACTGCATCTTTAATGAAACCCACAAAACAAACAAAAAAGTTTTAAAAAACAACATGTTACCATCTATGAATTCAAAAAATGACCTGCCTGTGCAGATCATTCCTGATTGTCTATGGCGGGCTTTCTTGAATCCATCAAGTGTGAAAGCCATCTCATAGCTGATGTTTTTGTATCCATCTCATCACATCTTCTGAGTTAAATCGCTATTGCTCTTCATCCACTTGCATTATGTGCATCCTACACAAATGTTCTGCAGATTGTTTAGCAATCTAAAATACTATTTACAGCTGCTTCTAAAACTGAATCAGTTTCTGCTGCCCCTTCTCTACTATGGGAAACTGGCTTGTCCATGCCATGATCTTCGGAGCATTTTAGGAGTTCCGTTTCTGCGGAAGTGCTACTGGAGACCTCGCTTTTCAAGTGCTTTGCGCTAAGTTTAAGTTCTAGAACGTTTCTGACCGTTGCTTTCACAGTCTCGCTACTCATTATGCTTTTGCTGTTTACCATAATGTTAGTTTGCTTGTCTGTGGTTTCTAGAGAGGGTCCTGCAGTTTTGCACTGGGGGCTTTCTGCATCGTCGGGGTCCATTATTGATCCAGGAACAGGAATGGGCTTTGGAGCGGAGTATACAGCAGCACTTTCTTTTGAGGCTTTACATGACGTGTAGTTATCTGAAGGACAAGAGGTGTACTTACCCTTTAGTTTGCAAAGATTTACAATGAGTTCTTTTGTAGGGGAAAACTTTACGTTCTTCAACACAGAATCTTGTTTAAGGCCTTCATTTTCCTCAGGAGAATTTTGACATTTAAGTTCCAGTAAACTGTCAGTAGGCACTAAACTTGGGGTATCTGGAATCTTAAGCGAGCTTGAATCTGTCTGATCTTTCATATTACTGTCCATTGGAGAGGAACCACCACTGGTTGGCTCTGCCTCCAGGTCATGATTGCTGAGCTGCTTTTCCTCTGAAAGATCTTCGTGAAATTTGCTATAGCAACAGAATTCTGTAAGGTACCCATCTGTGGAAAGAGGACATCTTAGTTTTTTTCAAGTAGGCAAAAAGGAATTAAAACAGCAGCATACTCTTCGCAAATTGTATCCAGTCTTGTCCAGCTATCTGTGCTTTTTTAGCCCAAATTTATTTAAATTGACCCTAAATGGTCAGCACTTCTGCCTGGCAGTACTAGGGTCGTTGGTTTGAATCGAAACCACGCCACCACCTGCCTGACGTTTTCATGTTCTTCCTGTGCCTGCGTGGGTTTCCTCTGGGTGCTCCGGTTTCCTCCCACACTACAAAGACATGCTGGTAGGTTAATTGGATCCTGTCTAAATTGGCCCTAGTATGTGTATGTATGAATGTAAGTTAGGGACCTTAGATTGTGCACCCCTTGAGGGTTAGGGACTGATTTGAATGCACATTAGATATATATTTAAAGCGCTGCATAAATTGCCGGCGCTATATAAGTACCTGTATTAAAAATAAATAAAATAATTCTCAAAGTGATATTAAGGGCAAGTTAATTTTAAAATAACAAACATGTTATACTTACCTGCTCTGTAATAGTTTTGCACAGAGCAGCCCTGATCCTCCTCTTCTCCTGGAACTTCTCTCGAGTGCCCCCATACCAAGCAGCTTGCTATGGGGGCACCAGAGCAGGTTCGCTCTCAAACCGATGCTGTGTGTGTTGATTCACACATGGAGCATGACTCAGTCCTGCCCTCGCTCTCTTCTCACAGTCTGTGAATGACAGTAATGGAAGCCAATACCTCCCACTGCTGTCTCAGCCAATGAGGAGGAAGAAACACGGGAGAGCTGCTGCTCTTGTGCACATCGCTGGATAGAGATGGAGCTCAGGTAAGTAGTAGGGGGGGCTGCTGCACACAGATGGTTTTTTACCTTAATATATAGACTACATGAAGGTAAATAAAACCTAGTGCTTTTACAACCACTTGTCAGGGCAAAATTATTTTTAAAAAACCAAACAATAGCACCATATCTCTGCAATACGTGCACATTTATCCATGCTTTATCCCCTTAAAGACTCGTACAAGTACAGAAAAATAAATGTTGGTCTGGCAGAAATGCATTCAGCTCCAAATTTCCTCTTTTGTAATGACGCCTCCTTCCTTTTTTGTGAACGGAAATTGCAAGAATTGTTGTCAGCCCTGCTCAGTTATCTGTTAATAAAGCCTACCTCCAGGTTTTAATGACTTTAAATAGTTTGTTTAGACCGAGCTGGCCAAACAAACTACTTTACTAACATATACGCCTTTTGGGAGCACTGTATAGAAAGTACATAGCATCAGCTACATGCAGGACACAACGCTGTGTTCTGGTAGCAGAACGTAGACTTCCACACAAAACGAAGTCAGGCGAACACAGTTCAGCCATTCACAAGAAGCCTTGTATTATATGAATAAATATTATTATTATTATATTATACAGGATTTATATAGCGCCAACAGTTTGCTCAGCACTTTACAATATAATGGAAGACAATACAGCAACAGTACAGTTCAATACAAGAGGGATAGGAGGGCCCTGATCCTTGGAGCTTACAATCTAGGAGGGAGGGGCTAGTGGTACAAAAGGTAGTAACTGTGGGGGATAGACTGGTTGGAGTAGAAGATTCCATTATTAGCTGAGGGCAGGATAGGCTTCCCTGAAGAGATAGGTTTTCAGAGATTGCCTAAAAGTGAGCAGAGTAGGCGATAGTCTGATAAATTGGGGTAGAGAGTTCCAGAGGATGGGGGAAGTCCTGGAGATGAGCATGGGAGGAGGAGACAAGGGAGCTAGAGAGTAGGAGGTCTTGCGAGGAGCGAAGAGTACAGCTTGGGTGATATTTGGAGACAAGATTGGTGATGTAATTTGGGGCAGAGTTATAAATGGCTTTATACGTTATTGTTAATGTTTTGAATTTTATCCGTGGGGCAAAGGGAAGCCAGTGGAGGGATTGGCAGAGAGGGGTGGCAGATACAGAACGGTTAGTAAGGTGGATGAGTCTGGCAGCAGTATTCATGATAGACTGAAGAGGGGATAGCCTGCGATGAGGTAGGCCAATGAAGAGGGAGTTACAATAGTCAAGGCGAGATATAACAAGGGAGTGAATAAGTTGCTTAGTGGTTTCCAAGGTTAGGAACGGGCGTATCTTGGAGATGTTGCGGAGGTGAAGTCTACAAGATTTGGACAGTGATTGGATTTGGGGCTGAAAGGACAGATGGGAGTCTAGGATTACACCTAGTACCCTGGCATGAGGGGAGGGACTGATGATTGTGTTATTGATCTTGATGGAGAAGTCAGGGGGGGGGAACGGGCTGGAGGGAATACTAAGAGCTCAGTTTTGGAAAGATTGAGTTTGAGGAAGTGAAGTGACATCCATGCTGATATGTCACTTAGTAGGTTAGTGATGCGAGAGGAGACTGAAGGGGTGAGGTGAGGAGGTGGGTGTCATCAGCATAGAGATGGTACTTAAAGCCGTGGGAGTTTATCAAGTGACCAAGGGAGGAGGTGTAGATGGAGAAGAGAAGGGGTCCAAGGACAGAACCTTGAGGAACCCCTAAAGATAGAGGGAGTGAATAGGAGGAGGCAGCGTTATAGGTAATGCTGAAGGAGCGCTGCGATAGGTAGGAGGAGAACCAGGAGAGAGCAGAGTCTCTGAGGCCAAGAGAATGGAGTTTTTGAGGAGGAGGGGATGGTCAACAGTATCAAAAGCCGCAGAGAGGCCGAGTAGTAAGAGTACGGAGTAGTGGCCATTGGTTTTAGCAGTTAGTAGATCATTAGTGAGTTTTAATATGGCAATTTCAGTGGAGTGTAGTGAGCAAAAGCCAGACTGTAAAGGGTCAAGAAGGTTGTTGTCGGTGAGGTGGGAGCTCAGGCGATTGTAGATTAAGCGTTCTAGGAGTTTAGAGGTAAATGGCAGCAGGGAGATGGGTCTTAAGTTGTTCAGGTTGGTGAGGTCCAGGGAGGGCATTTTAAGTATGGGAGTGATGTGCGCATGCTTTAGAGGGGAGGGGAAGGCACCAGTAGAGAGGGAAAGATTGAAGATGTGAGTGAGGGCGCATAGGATGGAAGAAAAGTGTGACTGTAGTAGTTGTGAGGGGACAGGATCCAGGAGGCAGGTAGTGAGACGGGCTTCTGACTAGATAGAAAATAGAATAAATACAAGGTTTCCTCTTACTGGCTGAGGTAGAGATTGTGATTGCCTGCCACTCTACCCCAGCCAATCAGAGGAAGCATTGTATTTATTCATAAGAAACAATAATACCTGTGAATGGGTGAGCAACACCTAGCCTGATTCAATTTTGTTCTGAGACCGGGGCTGGGAAGTCCCCATCCAGCTGCCAGAACACAGCACTGTATACTGTATGTAACTGATGCTACATACACTTTAGCCAGCCCTCCCAATGGGCACATCTGTTAGTAAAGGACAAAGTTTCTTTGTACCAGCTTGGACCAAATACACTCTTTTAATCCTTAGTAAACTTGGAGTAAGGCTGGTCATACATTATACAACTTTCATTTGAAAATTGCTTTAGATTTACCAAAAACCGTATAATATGAGGTCAAACCTAAACAATACTTTCAATTGTATCCAATTAGGCAGGCCCTTGTACTACATAGTTTTAGATAAATCTAAAACAATTTGGGCAGAAATTGGACAGAAAATTGTATAATGTATGGCCAGCCTTAGGCTTTAAACTAATGAATCCTTAAATTTTCCTCATCTCCAGAGCATAGGGCTCATTGTTCTATGGTGCAAAATAAGGAATGGGAGGACTCACAGCTGTGAATGTCTGACACGATAAAGACGTAATATACTGTATGTACCTAATGAACATACTGTATATAACAAAATGCTTTGAATTTTATATTTATCAGACCAAAAGGGGGCAAATAAGAGAAGTTAATTGTTAGGGGTTACATACACTTTAACCCCCACTTAAAAGTCAGCAGCTACTGTAGGCATTAATGTAAAAAGCCTTCTGGGTGCAGCTCCCCCTCCCCAGCCCCCTCTTATAGTTACCTGAGCCCCATCTCGATCTGGCAATGTGCATGAGAGAAGCACCTTTGGCTCACACAGCATAGAGAGCCATTGGCCCCTGCTGCTGTCAGTCACAGCCAGTGAGTCAATAAGGAGAGAGTGGGGGAGTGGGGTGAGCCGCACTCTGTGAATGGACATACAGAGTGTGCTTGGGAGGGAACCTGCTCAAGTGCCCCCACAGCAAGAGGCGTGCTATTGGAAGCACTTGGCAGGGGGGAGGAGCCAGGTCCATCGGCAGGGGACCCAAAAAGAAGAGGATCGGGGCTGCTCTGTATAATATGTTTGTTATTAAAAGTAAGTATAATATGTTTGTTATTAAAAAATATATATGTTTTTTAGCACTAATTTAACCCTAATTATTAACCCTGATACAATATACAGTGAATATTAGGAAAAATAAGAATAATATATAACATTGAGCAGCACAGTGGCTAATTGGTTAGCACTTCCACCTAACAGCACTAGGATCATTGATTCGGATCCCAACCATGACACCTGCCTGGAGTTTGCACGTTTTCCCTGTGCCCGCAAAGGTTTCCTCCCACACGCTAAAGTAGGAATGCATCGATACCGAGTATTTTTCTGACTCCCATCCCTGCAAGGAGAGGAGAGAAAGCTGTGGGGATTTCAATTCCTCAGACCTGTGAAGTGGCTTTCTCTCCTCTCCTTGCAGGGATGACCGTACGGGCTAGACGGGCTAGCAGATAGGAGAGAAAGCCATGGGGATTTCAAATCCCCAGACCTGTGAAGCAGCTTTTTTCTTCTGTGACAGCATGGGATCTGTGCAGGGAGGCTTCCCACAATGCTCCCTTGTGAACTCAGGCTATGACAAGCCTACATTTACACAGGAGCAGTAGGGAAATCGCTTGCGATTTTGACAGGACTGGCATTCCTGTTCAATTCCTATTCTTTGTGCGCAATTTTCATCCATACATTTTGTATGGACGCAAATCGTACCGTAAAGGATCGGTACTCGGTATCTACTAGTACTTGACCGAACGTATTGGTACTTGTACTCACCGATCAAAAAAGGATGTTGGTGTATCCCAATTCTAAAGACACGCTGGTAGGGTAATTGGCTCCTGTCTAAATTATCCCTGGTATGTGTATGTAAGAATGTTAGTTTGGGACCGTAAACTACAAGCTTCTTGAGGGCAGGGACTGCTGTGAATGTATAATATAATATGTAAAGCGCTGTGTAAATTGATGGCACTATATAAGCACCTGTAATAAAATAAATATTATATACACGTATTATTTCATACATGATTCATTATATAAGAAGCATATAATAAATAATATGTTAGTATATACATCTAATAAGTATAAAAATAATATCCAAAAATATATACTTATTTTATTTACTTCTTAATTAATTTAATATAATAATAATAATAGTCAAATTTGATGTATACAATACTTTAAACAACGCATTTAATCGTAATGATACTTCAGTGCAATAATTTATACCCATTTATTTAATATGTAATTAATTTTATCCACCACTATTTAACCATAATGATAGAATATATTCCTAATATATCCTGGTAGTAATTAGTTTTATTACTTAGTTAATTATTTCCATCTGATTGAACTTAAAATTAACTTAACTAAATTGAACTCCCTAACCCCTAATCATAGACTAACCTAAACCCTATTCTAATTCCTTATACTACATTGTCCTCTGCAGTGGCATACTTACCTTACCCTGTGCCTACATTATTTGTAACCAGAAGCTACCAAACCTGCACCATCATCTAGGCACCAAGATCTCTGTGCTGAGGTCTATCGGCAGCGCATATCATTGTGCCCTGTTAGTAAATACCCTGAAAGTTGGGTTACCAATTGTTAGCACTCACCAGGATCAACCAGTGCTGTTCGTTTCTCACGTGTCAGAGCGGCTCTCTCTTCCTGGTTAAATATTCTGTCCAGCATCACCATCTCTGCAGAAGGAGTGATGCGCTACGGTAGAAACAAAAATGGTCTTCGCATTAATATATATTTGTATTGATTATATATAGTTAGTGAAGCTAAAGTAAGACAACATGCTTATTCTAATATCAACCCAACTGAGTTACCAGAATCTGTTACAGAGCACTTAGGTGTTCACTTATCAGGACAAGTAATGTTTCTGCTGCCAATTACTGTCTGGATCACAATGGAGTAATTCATTCAGTGAGAAAATGAATAGCTATTGTGCTGACTAGTACCCAACCATCATTTAAAGTGGTAGTAAACTTGTTTGCAGAAAAAAAAAAAATTCCTGCGGTATACTAGCACTTTATGAAAGACCTACCTTAGAACAAAGTCCTCCAGCGACACACTGTCACTGCTGCAGAAGGCTTCCATCTTCGCCTGGTCTTCTTTCGAGTTCCCATGCTGCAGCTTCTAGAATTGCCGAGCCACGGATGATGTCACTCTTGCTCATGCGCATGGGGGTTTCAGCCATGGCACACAACTCTGAATGAATGGCACGGGGATACCGTTCCTTCAGAGCCCATGTGCTGGTACTGTCACCGGCTGCTGCTCCATAGAATATCTCAGAAATGGTGCACATTTAGGAGATATTCATTGTACCTATAGGTAAGCTTTATTAGAAAAAAAATGTACTTTACTACCACTCTAATGGGGCACATAAGAGAGCCATGAGTGTGGTAGGGACACCAGGTGAAATGGATGGTGCGCCTCTCAAATTAGGTCTTGAGATTTAGCATTTTTATAATTAATTAACTGAGGCAGAGGTTATTTTAATCGACTGCCTGCAGAGCCCAATCACAGTGAGGTTCTTCCTTTCAATACAGACGTGATTTAAATTAAAAGGAAGTAAACACTGATTTTCAGCAGCTGATAGCCTGAGGCCCTGTTCACACTGGCAATAAAAGCAGGAGTGTGGGGCGAGTTTTTAACTCCTAGTAAAGCAGTCTGCAATTAATACCATGGAAAGCACACAGTCCTGTTCACATTATCAAAACATGAAGCGTTTGCGTTGTCTTGCTGCACTTCAAAAATGAAGCTTCATGTAGAGATGAAGCATCTCAACTTCTCCTATTCAAGTCTATGGTAATGCACCATAAACTCCCGGGCATGTGTTTGCAGTGCGTTTGCAATGTGTTTGCGGGAGTTAGGTCTTGTTCACTGCAAACAATAAAAATCCTCGGCATTTGGGGTGTGTATTTAACTTTCAACAAATGCTTGTCAAACACGCATAGGGCATTTGGGGAGAGTTTTTACCTCGCCTTTAACCTCCCTAGAGGTCTGATTATGTCCATATTTCTGTGCTCAAAGCGGTACATTTTTTTGCATGGAAATATGTAGTTTTTTTATTGTAGGCCTGTAATTTTTAGGAATAACTCACTGAAATCTGTCCGAACAAGAGTCTAGTAAACATCCTGGGTATGATAAAATTTGAAACACGAAATCATAAATTATAATTTAATAAATAATCATAAAAATAATAATATAATAATAAATGAAATTCAATAATATAATAAAACCAAAAACACTAAAATTTGAAATAGAGCGCCAAGTTCGCACATCACTGAGCAAAGTCACAAAATCGTTTTCAGTGTCTGATGACGAATTTCCCCCACGAATCATTATCACTCAATTCTGCAAGTGGTTCTAATTTACTATCGCTGTTCTCTAGCCGGTCTAAAACCACTTTTGACCTAAAGGGACGCTTTTTGGATGCCATGGACGTTTCTCAGTTTCCAGGCAGAAAGAACAGTAAAAATGCAGGCAGGGTGCAGGACAAAGCACTCGGGACAAAATGTATGTGAAATGGTTGATACAGTAATGTTTTACTATGTGATTTTAGTGAATGTCACTTTTTGTCATTTTCAAATTTCCGCCAGTTCCGTCCTCCGTACATCCGGACGCTTGCAGGGGATGGAACCCAGATGACAGATGCCGGCATCCGCCGGAGGACATTACAGGGGACACTGCAGGAGAGACATCGCGGCGGGAGAGCGCAGGACAAGGCAAGTGATCGAGGGATCGCGGAGCAGCGCCGCATGGTATTCCCGAGTCTAGCTCGGGGTTACCGCTTGTGGTACTGAATCTTTACCCCGAGCTACACTTGGGAATACCGCCAGGGGGGTTATGTTCCATGCACACTAGCATTTTTTTAAGCTCCTAGAACCCAAGTAGTGTTCTCCTATGTGTCCATGTACACTATTTATATATGTAGAGTCTTTTGGAGCATTTTTCCAGCAGAAAAAATCCGCTAAATGCTTCAAAATGCTGCTAAACCCAACTAAAATGGTCCTAACAGGTTTTCAAGCTTTTTTTTTCCTCTACATGTACTGTAAAAATGCTAATAAAACGCTAATGCTCCTAAATGCTTATGAACGCTACTAAAAACGCTATTAGGAGCATTTTATTCCAGCATTTTTTGAGCTTAATAAAAGCTAGGGTGCATGGAACCCTAATGCACATTAAACATGATGCAAACTCAACAAACAACTCGCATTAACTCAATAGGCATGTTTGTTAGGCGTAAGTATTTTGCACAAGTGTGAACAAGGCCTGACATTGGCAAATGCCTGTTTGAGACATATTAGTTAAACTTCCACTCTGACTCCAAGGCTGTGTGTTAGTTTTGGAATGGTGACATCTCTTGCAATGAAGTGGAACTGTTTCCGGTAAAATTAATAGACTTGGTATGAAACTCAGAGTTAGAACCTGGCTGCTTCCATCAGAGGTCTCATACCCAGGTATTTTGCCTGTATTGTATGAAGTGACATAGTAGCGTACATAGCTTCAAAAAGTTTACACACCTTCGCATCTTCCATTAGCAGCAAACGGTATTTGTTTAGCATTGCTTGGGTCTTCTTTAAGAAATGTGTGGCCATAGCTTCAAATTCGTTGTCCACTAGAATGGAACAAAAATGCTTTTTTAGTGAATTCGTGATAAAGAGAATGCATAGTCCTTTTAAGAAATGTTAGGTAACAAACAACTTGAAAAGGGACTTCACTAAATGCTACTTAAATGCAAGATGGCCAGCATGCTCCAACACTTCAGCAGATGTAGACAAATTCAGTAAAACTAGAAGAGTGTCTAGCCCTGCCCCCCTGCCTTCTACTCAATATGCCATAACTAAACAGGCCTGATTCAGGACAAAAATCAAATCTTGTGTTATATAGGAATTTCCTCTTTGTTTATTGGGTCATCTGGGCTATGAATCAGCATGATGTAGAAGGGTTGGTGGGGACACACACAAAATATTGAGAGGTGTCATGTCCCTGATTTCATATTAGCTGTTCTTTTATTTGACAGGGGGAAAGAAATTAGATAAGGTCTTAATTTGGTAGGATTAGTGATAATTCGTAGATTCATTTTATTTATTTTTTTAGGTTTATCTCATTTTAAACATTTGTTCTCATCTATTTGTACAGTTTTTATAAAAATCTTGGTTGTGGAAAAACAATTGAATAAAAGGTGTCCCCATAGCACACCATGCACTGGGAATTAATTAAAATTAGGAGCAGCCAGAATCTTGAGCAGCTATGAATGGCATCCAGTCAGCTTTGATCTTTCATTTTCAAAACTTAATTGAACAAGGTGAAGATAGAAGCTGATTGCCATGTACAGCCACTCCAGATCCTGTCCCATTTTTGATATATTTCCCCCATGGGTTTTCTAACAGGGCAGCAGCAGCTGCTTGCCTTCAGACTTTCTAATCGATTCTGGGTTAGGAGTGGTCTGTACCAGTAGGAGGGAAGGGGAGGGGTGACCGATCTCATCCATTCAGGTGTGTGTGTAAATTTCAGCTTGGGCTACTGAGCTCTGTAAAAAAAAATAATTAGCAAAACAGGTAAGAGTAGCCTAGCAAACGTGATAAAGAGAGGAGAGCTCAGCCTGCTGGGTGAAAAAAAATTAAAAGTATTCATAGCAATATTTTCATATTTACTTGACTGAAAAAACTGGTGTGTATCTATATTTTTTAATGTTTAATTTTAAGCCCTGAGAAAAAAAATGCAAAGGTTATGGTATAGCTGATAGTAATTAGTGACATTGAACTGGACTTGTTTTGTAATTTTGAAAACCTTTCAAAACTCAACAAAATGGCTTTCTCAATTCAAATGAAAGGAACATTCCCCGGGATTTATAACCACATGGTCAACTCAGTCAGCAAAATTCAATCACAATGGAGTTATGAAATGTGTCAAAGTCACCACACTGAAAACCATAGGTCCTGGCCAGACTGTATAAGAAGAAGATCATGTCTTACCTGTCTGCCAGATAGCAAGTCAAATCCTTCTTTTCTTCAATAGAGTGTCAGAAAATGTGGCCCATGATGTGCCCTGTGGTTCCTCCTGCTGTGTCACTTCAAAACACAACAGGCCGGCGGGGGAAACTAGAGCTTGCAGCAGCTGACACACTCATAAATGAGAAGCAGCACTGATATCCCTTAGAAAAAAAAAAGATTTGACTTGCCACCTGCTATACAGGTTAGTATTGATTTTCTTCTTCTTGCCCACTCAAGGCTTATGTCAGGGGTCTCCAAACAGTGGCCTGCGAGCCAGATGTAGCTTGTCTTTATCCGGCCCTTGGGTCAATATTCTTACACTGATATGAGGCACTATTCCTTCCATTAACACCAAAGATGGAGCACTATTCCTCCCACTGACACCACCAATGCAGTACTATTCTTCCCACCATACCAGAGATGGGGAACTAATTCTCCCACTGACACCAATGACGGGGCTCTATTACTCCTACTGAAACCAATGATGTAATGTATTTAACCCCCACTGACCACCAACCCCATGGCACTATTTACTCCCACCAATGCCAGGGCATTTTCTACTCCAACTGGCCACAGTCCGGCCTCCCTTAAAGTTTGAAGGGCAGTAAACTGTCCCTTTGTTTTGAAAGTTTGGAGACCCCTGGTCTATGTTATATAAACTTGGGGACAAAGTCACTTTAAGGCTGCTACAGACATTAGATGCCTGTTGCCTGATTCCTGGAATTTCAGCAGGACCTGGAGAACTTTTGAGCACAATAGGCTAGTTAGACACCTGTGGACCACCATTGTTGGGGCAAAGTTATCAAACCTAGCAACAGAGATCTTACAATTTAAAGTATAACTAAAGGAAAAACTGTTCTATTAGGTTTGGATGGAGTGCAGAGGGATTAGAGTGCTTATCAGTTTTTATTGCTGTCTGTACCTCTGTTAAGGAGATCCACTCTCTCTATTTTTGCTGTTTACTATTATCATTGAACGTGAAAGTAGAACAAAATCCCAAATTGTGGGCTATCCCCATAATCTTCCAATGGGGACCTGAGGGGCCCCAAAGATTTCCCGTAATTTGCAGGGATGTTGTCTCACTTCCTGTTTGGCTATGGGGCAGGAAGTGAAGAAAAATGTACACAATGGGACACAGATGGCGAAAACAAAACCTGACAGGGGTTATAACCTTCCCAAACTCTATCCAAAATGAAAAAAAAAAAAAGTTTTGCCTATAGTTCTACTTTAATGTTATTATTATTCATACATTCACACAGTAGAGCCGATTTAGGAAGAAGATGAATAACCTATCTTTTTTTTTTTTCAAGTAAGGTAGGGAAATTTCCAAGAAAAACCTACACAAGATGGGAATAACACACTACATGCATACAATGTTACTGATGGAAGTTTAACCCATTTAATCAAGGGCATCCAAAGAAGTAATAAATGCCAGCTTCCGACTATAAACCTGTTCCAGTTTTTCTGGTTATAATACAGCACCATCTGACAACAGTCTTGTCAGATGGTGCTGTATCTAAATCAATAAAGTGAGATCAATATCATAGTCGGACTCCAGCATTTTTTACTTCTTTAGATGAACCTGGAGGGTGTAATGAAGCCCAGTTGTTGAGCGGATACTCCATGGGCTTATTGGCGGAGAGGTAGAGCTCTGTTCTGTTGCTTTACGCATTCAACCAAGGGCTACAAAACTGTACTGAAGGACCAAAAGTATCCAAACAACCCTTATTATAGGCACACAAAAATGCAATCTCTAGCAATAAATGCCGACTGTAGAATGTATTGTACTGAAGAACACATTGGCTGATAACTTGGCACTATTGTAGATTGTCAACCTTACAAATCAGTTCAACAGACTTCTGCCCTACTAGAGCCATGGGAGAGGTTGACTGGCCTACACAAAGCCTAGAACTCAACCCAGCTAAACACCTGATGGATGAATTGGAATTAAGGGTCTAACATCAGTGCCACCCTCATTAATGCTATTGGGTATTGAAGTAAAATCCCACCAATAATTTCCCAGCATCTAGCAAAAAGCTTTCTTATATATTTTGCTGTTTCACCTTTCTGCATGTCATCATTGGTGGGCAGTGATCCCTGAAACACATGGTATGGGAGAAGCCTCTGGACAGCATCACCCAGTGACTGGAATGGGCTCTTATTGGGGTCCAGAGCATGTTCTTGGTCTCTATGCACCTGCTGAAGAATTCTAGAGGAATAAAGAACAATAGTTAGGTTTAACAGCTTGAAGCCCACAGAATATACAAAGGGAAATTTATTAAGCAAATTAGCGACAAATGTATAGCAAATCAGGCTGCCTGTCAGGAGATCTATGCTACAGTTTTTATGTGTATTTACAACCCATGCACCTGTACACCTAGGTAGACAACTACAACAGATTTGCATACGTCTGCATTGGGTTTACCACTGAAGATAAGACAGATTTTCACTCAAAACACACAATAGCAGGTAATCAGGGGTAGGCTTTATTCTAGTGCACTGCCAATTTATAGCAGCTGAGAGGGAATTTATGAATAAAGCTCCCTAACTATTATAAATCAAGTCTGTCTCAAATCTTTGTAATTGCTCCTGTTTAGAATTGCCTGGCTGTGCAACTAAATTAATAAATGCCCCCCCCCCCATTATGTTTAAACCTACAGAGTTTCTTTTGTGAGTTGTTTGGTGGACATCCTCTTCAGTCCTCTGTGATGCCCTTCAACCTAATAACAAAGAAAAATATAATGTTACACTTTTTTATTGCAAGTTATTTTCATCATCAACCTGTAGTACTGAAAAACACAAATCTCTAATCTAACTGTCCTAGATCAATTGTTTTAACACCAAGATTAGCCTCATAAACATAACATAGAAATGGGCATGGTCTCTGGTTTAGATATGAACACACATAATCTTATGATTCTTGTTAATTCCGTTCACAGAATATTGTGGTTCTTTTCCGCTTTCCTTTTTATTCCTTTCCTTTTTTTTCTTTTTTTATTATTGTTGAACTTTTGGTCAGGCATCACGTTTCCCTAGTTTATCATGTGTTCGTCCTTTGGGGAAAAAAAAAAAACCTTTTCATCAACATATGATGGCTTCCTCCAGCTCCTGAGCCTCTTTTGGCCGCACATTACACTGAAAGACTAACAAGAAACGTTCTGCACATAATTTTGTATGGATTGACCGATTGCTTTAATGTGAAGTTTACATTGATGGTCACCTCTGTTGATTCAGCCCCTCAATCTGAATTGCCCAGATTAGTAACAAGTTTACTTTACATATTTGAAAAATATATTATTAAGCATACAAAAATATCCACATGCACTAAACCAATTTTTACCTTAACATTCTGTAGCTGTGATAAATGATGTTGTATTTGTTTACTTCCAGAGTTAGGCTCTGCAAATTAAGAAAAGGTAAATCATTCACATATTTAAAGTGAATTTATAACACGTCAAGCTAGCCATAATCCTGTTGAATATTTTGAAGACATGCAAAAATAATTTTTCCTTTTTGCATTCATGCTACCATTGCTCTGCAATCAGCAGTGAAATATTGGCAGCTTTGGTGCCATTTATTATATTTACATCTCCATAGTGGAAAGCAGAAGCTGTGCACTGTGAACACTGCAGAGATAGTAATTATTGAAAATACCATCATCATACCACCAATGAATAACTTTAACTTTATGCAAGTAATCTAAACCAGGGGCAGACTGACAACTCATGGCAATAGGGGATCATGGGGCCCCTGTGTCCTTGCCCAAACTTAAAAAAGCCTATGAAAAAGGTACCAGTGGCATCTCATGGGGCCCCTACTGACCCTGGGCCCTCGGGCAGTGCCCGAGTTTCCAAATGGTCAGTCCGCCCCTGATCCATTGTAAGGCTAGCACATGAAGGATACTGGATCTAGCACATGAAGGATACTGGATCTAGCACATGAAGGATACTGGATCTAGCACATGAAGGATACTGGATCTAGCACATAAAGGATACTGGATCTAGCACATGAAGATACTGAGCAGGGGTGGGCCTCTTGGGGAGAAACAAGGAGTGGAGCAGACACAGATCAATGCTGCTGCCCACTCACCATATTTCAACAAAACAGACATTATATTTAACAAATGCATATATCAAATAGTGTGACAATAATGGATTTGACGAACCCCAAACTGAGTGGGGAGATTAGGGAAGTCATGCTTAATTAGTGACACCCTAATTCCTCCATAATTCTCAAGTCAGGGATGAAAACATATTTAAATTTCTGTGGTGGAGACATAAAACTGATATTTTAAAATTATAAAACTGATTTTCCAAATTCTCTTACCAGAAATGAAAGAATTTAACGCATCTTTGAAGAAACCTACTATATTGCAAACTCTGTTACATTGTTGTCTTGGCATGGCAGCAAGTAATACAGCAGATGCTGTGAACAGTGCATTCTTCTGGTAAAACATGTGGTGGCTTCTACCCAGTGATGTACACTCTAACTCTGCTGTCCCCTAGATTGTTATCCAATGATCTGGAAAATCTCTGGGAAGGGTGAGGTTGAGAATTTAATATCGTCAAAAAGAGAAATCCCCGTAACGGGCCAAAAATTAAAATACTTTTTATTTTTAATGGAGTCTAGTTTATAATAATGCTTGTGCCCCCACTAGAATATTTCTGGAAGGAAGGTTCTGTAAGCTACAATTTCTGTATAACTGATGATATCATCCATCCAGTTATAACAATATCTGCTATATGTACTATATGTCTATATCTATGGCTTTGGCAATAAGGGAGATTTCCTCCCCTCTTTTGAATTTTAGCTCTAAAAGGAAACCTGCAGGAAAGAAATATAGGAACTTTGTGCATAGACACATGCTCCAGGGCTGTTATCTTCATCAGTGCTTTACTATTTAGTGAATCTCTGACCAGTAGTAGACATCAGGGGTGGACTGACCATTTGGAAACTTGGGCACTGCCCAAGGGCCCGGGGTCAGTAGGGGGGCCCATGAGATGAGATTACCATATACTTATAAAGGTGCGCGTGCATGGGTTTCCTCCAAGTACTCCAGTTTCCTCCCACGCTCCAAAGACATGCTGGTAGGTTAATTTGCTCCTGTCTAAATTGGCCCTAGTATGTGTATGTATGAATGTGAGTTAGGGACCTTAGATTGTACACCCCTTGAGGGTTAGGGACTGATGCGAATGTACAATATATATATGTAAAATGCTGCATAAATTGACAGAGCCATATAAGTACCTGCAATAAATAAATAAAAAATAAATAAAAGGTACCTGTCAGGGAAGCAATGTGTGTGTGAGATTGTCTCTCCTGGTTTTTCAGACATGAAACTGGAGAGAGGGGATTGGCGAGTTTTTTTGCAGTCTACAAGAAAAAAAAACACATCAAAAAGGCGCATATATGATCTCTTACTTTATATTTATCTATTTCTATCCATATAAAGTGGTAGTAAACTCTTTTTTAATAATATAACATACAGGTAAGTTTATAATAACGCTTACCTGTAGGTAAAATTAATATCTCCTAAACGTGAGCTGTTTAGGAGATATTAGCCTGTTTTGATATTCGGCGCATGCGCTCTGTAGGAACAGCATACCCTTGATGTTCCTTTAGAGCACTGTGCAGTGGCCTGGGACTCCCGCACACATGCGCAGGGGTGACATAATCTTGGCTCAGCCAGTCAGCTGACCAGAGCTCGCAAACCCAGAACAAATACCGGGTGAAGATGGAAGCCCCGAGGAGCCATGACAGCGCTCTACTGGAGGGCTTTGTTTCAAGGTAAGTCCTTCATAATGTGCTAGTATGCCAAGCATACTAGCACATTATGCTTCACCTTGCAAGTTTTTTTTTTCTTTGGTGCTGTTTACTACCACTTTAAATTACAAATGCAAAGTTCATTTTCTATTTTTTTATTCCGTATTCAGACATGCTCGTATGCCAAGGACAAGGAGAGGGTGCACACAGGAACAAAACCTCAAATTTCTGCTCATAATCCTGTTAGTAAATTACAAGGGATTATGTAACATTGCTAGATTAGTTACTAATAATAGTGGTGTTCCTCTTAAACAAAAAGTGCATTACTCCAATTTAAGGGAGACAACAAAAATAACAAATAAAACAATTTAAATAAAATAAACAGCAGAAGGTTACAATAAATCATCATTGCCAGTGTTTACTGGGAGTTTCCAAAGACAAAAAAAGAAACAGATTCAGAAACAAATAAGTGTTCCTCTTCCTACCTATGCTAGATTTTTGGTTAAATATCTTCTCAAAAGTTTTACGTTTTTAATACAAAGGCATGAGATAACAGTTGAAAATGGTGAGCAAAAACATGTCATGGATGAGACCCCCCTGAAGCAGAAAAGAGCGGCATACTATACCCATGAAAAAACGGATGTAACAACATGCAATGAGCAGAATAGGTTGTCAACTTCACTGTGTATACGACAATCAGTGGTAACCAATAGTGGCAGTAAGATATAACATGGAAAGAGTGAGGAAGAGGAAAGAAAACAAGAGAAACAAGGAAAAAAAAAAAGGATAACTGAGCACTCTGAGAAACGCACGAAAAATTGATAGAAGTAAAAGGAAATAAGGCCATTCAGGTGGAGATTAGAGCTCAGAAAGCATCTGAATGGCTGTAGGTCCTCCAACACATCCAGGTGGTGTGGACTTTTTTGGGATCGGGGCTGCCTTCCACAACCAATGTCTCCATTTCGTTAGGTATCTGGGCCCAGATGGTACCAACAATGCCACCCACTTTTGTAATCAAGTATTATGGCATGACCTAGAAATACCATTCCATCAAATTCCTTCTCTCTATGCTCTATGATGCTAACTACCCTAACATTCTGCATAAGCTCAAGCTCCTTCTGGCTGGGCAGCATTGTTGCAGTAAAAAATGATGTACCTGCCTAAGCCACTATACTTTTTTCTGGTGCTGCCAATCCCTTTTTCAACATATCTTATGTATTATCCAAAATCAGGTTATGCACTACATATGATTCAATTGCAGACTGACGTCCCAGACCAGCATTTTACATCCTAGACCAGCCTTATTACGTCCCAGACCAGCCTTAATGGTGGCTTGGGTGTTCCAAACCTTTTATGATACTATCATGCTGAGGAAATGGCACAGCTTTCTAAATACCACCCATTCTGGGTCAATTTGGAAGGTGAAGACAGAAAATTACCATTTTTATGGATCAATTTAAAATTATTTAAAACTAAAAACACTTCAGTATAATGATAACATAGAGCTTCACTACACTTTACCTGGTTAAGAGAAAATGCCTGCTGGGAAGCTGTTTTGGGACTTAAACTGCTGCTGGTTTTAGCACTGGAGGACTGAAGATGAGTTTCATTCATTGCAGTTTGTGCTCTGTTCTGTTCCTGCTCTGTTATGTAACTGTCTGATCCTCTTGGAAATCCTGCTCCTGTTCGCTGAAGTCCAGCTCCAGAACTTACAATAGTGAAGCGGTTTCCAGATGGCATATTTGAGCAACCAGATGGTGCTGATGATATGCCTGATCTTCCTAGAATGGTGGTGCTTTGACCAGGAGACAAATGCAGTAGTGTAGGAGACAGCTGCGCCATCTGCCCTCCCACACTTTGAGATGGTCCATGGTTCAAAATGACTTGACCTCCAGAACTTGTAAATGACTGTCCAGGAACAATTTGCACGGCTGTACCTGGACTATGTAACATTTGTCCCGGGTACTGTTGACTAGGCCTAACCAAACCTGTTGAGTTTCTGCTCATCAACATATGTTCGGCAGGAACCTGTTGAGGACCCAGATGGGATGGCTGTGCCTGTGCAAGCTGGGAGTTAATGGCCTGGATTTGCTGCATTGAATTATTATTTAGGGAAAGGCCAGTGGGAATGATAAATTGGTTTGCATGACAGTGTTGTTGACCAGCTGGAGAATGGATGACAATGCTACCACCACCAGGCTGCTGACTGGAAGGTTTACGAGAACATTGCTGGTTTACTGGCATTTGTTGACTCATAGAAGAACTTTGGGCTGCCGTGACGAACGGGATACCTTGATGCCCATGATGATGTTGTACTCCTACGTGACTAATATTGTAGGGTGCCTGCTGTCCTACTTGCAATGGCTTAGGCTGAATATTTATGGGAGCTTTATTAGAATTTGGTGCTGGTCCTCTGTGAATAATAATATTATGAACAGGTAAAGATGCTTGAAAATTGCCACTACTGAATGGAACAACCGGTTGTCCTGCTGGACTTGTGTTTGGGCTTCCGAAAACGGCATTGCCATTTGGAGTCTGTCTTTGTATTACAAGCCCCCCACTAGCATTGGGAGGTACTTGTTGGCCACTTTTGAGTATAATCTGGGAACCATCAAGATTATTTATAGTCATAACTGGAGATTGGCTATTAATGGAGCCGATTACATGGATCTGTCCAGAACTACCATGGCCACTATTTGGCATTTGCTGGCCAGGGATAATTCCAACATGTTGCATAAAACCATGCTGCACACCCACGGTGTTTCCTGCAAATGATGCACCTAACTGCTGTGGAACTACAGGCACATGGGTCACTCCTATGGGATGTAATGTTTGGCCTGAGTAACTAGGGTCAGTGCTGGCCTGAGTAAACGATGCTGATGAATGAGTGTGAAATGGAACATTAGGAAACTGTTGGCCAGATTCTATGCTGGCATCCAAGTAAGCCTCTTCTGCCAATATCTGTTCCGTGATATTGGCCTCCTGCAGTGACTTCTGTAGGATGTCCTCAGTGAGGTCCGGCATAGGGGATGGTTCAAGATCATCTTCAAAGTATTGAATGTTAGTAGACAATTCCATTCCATCTTTGGATTCCTCTTCCTCTGGGCTGTGTGCAGTTTTAGCAGATGATTTAGCATCAGCAAGCTGAGGAAAAATTATATAGGAGGGTTAAATGGGGTGCAGCAAATAAAAAATATATATTTTCATCAGGAGATGTGTTTTCTGAGCTCCTAGGAATAGTCATTCTATAGTCATTCTAGAAAATGTGAATTTTATTTCTTCACTTTAAGGGTCATACAGCAAAAAAACAAACTCTGGGCGGTTTCATTTCAATACACTTCACCAGAGGATCCTCCATATATAGGAGAACTAAATGTCACTTAATGATTTTCTTACGCTCCATATGTACGATATAAGCAAAGGATTAATGCTGCAAGTTTGTCCAAGTATTGTCTTTGTGTACCAACCAAGCCACAATAGTTCTCTAGACACTAGTCACCTTCTAGCTAACATACAATAGAGAAACCTCCCATATATGCTCATCAGTAATTGCTATGTTAGGAACATAAATAGCAATTCCACTAGGAAGGCATCATGTGTTCTTTGTTTGTGACTAAGTCCACTCTATATTTGCTCTGACTGTGTGCGTCTGCGCTGACTGTGTGCGTGGCCTGAGGACTGAATCACACCAGACTTGCACAGGAACATGTGCAGCATTCCCATACAAATCCCACTTGTTACCGTGTGGTGCAATTTTGCAGCCCATTCATTCGAATGGGCTGCAAATCACATTGGTATGCAGATACAGTAATGCACTGAATGCCACATCAAATCACCTGGTACTGCGATATCATGCGATTTGGTGCCTGCAAATGCACTGGATTTGCAATCTGCATTTTTAAAATAAAATGAAAACTACAGTTTCTGTGACTCCTCTTACAATTTCTATGCTTCCTAGTATAGTTTCTATGACTCCTACTTGTTTGTTAATTGTTGTCAAGACATATATCCTTTTTTTTTGTTTTCTCTCATTTATACTTACACTAGCATTGGCAAAAATGGAGTTTGAATTAGAGGCTAAAAAATCTGCATCTGTTAATTCATCAGCAGCCTGTTAAGTAAAACAAAGAACAGTTCATTTAAGTTGAAATTTTTACAACATTTACACGTCTCAAAAGTTGAACGAGAAATATTTCAATGTAATAAAACCGACTTTCTACAAGGATAACTGTGGAGATACATGCACGCTGCGATTGCTGACCTCCTCCTGAACCTTGCTGTGTCCGAGTTCTGTACTATGATCCACTGAACCAGCATGCAGCAAGTGAAATCAAATGAGAATCAGAACTGATAGGCAAGCAACCAGCATTTTTAATGGGGGTGGTCAGTCATAGAAGTCTATGGGATTGTTTTATTAAAACTGGAGAGTGCAAAATCTTGTGCATGGTAGCCAATCAGCTTCTAACTGCAGCTTGTTCAGTTAAATGTTGGCAATAAAACCTGGAAGCTGATTGGTTATTATATATATTAAAATATATTTTTTTAAAATATATTCTTCAGATTTTTTTTAACATACAAAAAAAGTCATTTTAACATATATTTTTACATATATTTGTAAATCCATTCCAAAAATGTAGATTTGTATTTTTAAAGACATACAGTATATTTGAAATGTATTTTTAAAAATATTTTTCATATATCCTGTAATAAAAACACATTTCAACATGCAGTATATATATATATATATATATATATATATATACACATATTTATTGAAATATATTGAATATGACCAAAGTTGTAGTATTTCAAATATATGGAATATATTTGGGAAGAATATTTTTAAAAAATATTTTTCTTCCATATGGGAATGCTTTCCAGGCTCCTATGTAAAAAAAATTATACATGCACATTTTTTAAATTTATTATGAGTGCACTTATTTTTTTTGCAAAAGGTGGACATAGGCTCCATGTACACGAGCAGCTGCTAAACTTGCGTTTAGGAGCTTTTGGCATTTTTTTTGCAAAGCTCCTAATCTCAACTCCATAAAAGCCTGTGTGTCCATGTACACATAGGCTTTTAGCAGAGTTTAAGAGCTGCCACGTTTAGGTGAGTTTAAACCTCCCTCTCCTGAACGTGAAAGAATCGCATTCAGAATAGGAACGTTTTGACCGCCGACCATGGGAAAACGCAAACCACGGCAAACTGCGGTACCACGTTTTTGCCACGATTTGCGTTTCCCAGCAGTCAGCGGTCAGAGTAGGCTCGTGTACATGAAGCCTTAGACTTTAAGACTTTCTCTCAGTAGCTGAGCTCACCTTCTCCCTCTCCCAGCAGCTGCTCAGCTCACTCTCACAATGATTTAGAAGAAGCTCCTCCATGCGCCTCCCTCCTTCCCAGCAGTGACCCAGCTGCTCAGCTCACTCCTCCCAACAATGATTTAGAAGCTCAGCTCTCCATGCGCCTCCCTCCTTCCCAGCAGTGACCCAGCTTCTCAGCTCACCCCTCCCAACAATGATTTAGAAGCTCAGCTCTCCATGCGCCTCCCTCCTTCCCAGCAGTGACCCAGCTTCTCAGCTCACCCCTCCCAACAATGATTTAGAAGCTCAGCTCTCCATGCGCCTCCCTTCTTCCCAGCAGTGACCCAGCTGCTCAGGTCACCCCTCCTAACAATGATTTAGAAGCTCAGCTCTCCATGCGACTCCCTCTTTCCCAGCAGTGACCCGGCTGCTCAGCTGAGCTGCTGAGAGAACTTGAAAGACTTCAATGCTTCTACTGTGAATGTTGAAGATAAATTGCTCCACAGTCACTTTAAGGTGACCTTATATGCCATAGCACAGGGGTGGACAACTGCGACCCTCCAGCTGTTGTGGAACTACATGTCCCATGAGGCATTGCAAGACTGACAGTTACAAGCATGACTCCTAGAGGCAGAGGCATGATGGGAAGACTGAAGTTACTTCAAGAGTCAGAGGCATAATGGGACTTGTAGTTCTGCAACAGATGGAGGACCGCAGTCACCCACCCCTGCAACAGCACATGAAAAGCATAAAGCACAAACCTAACCTAACTTAATGTTTTTAACTTTTTCATATCACATAGATATTTTCAATAACTCAAAATGATTGACATTATACCCAAGCGTACCTGTAAAAGTGGCTGTAACCCTCAGACATGAAATATGAGCAATGCATATCCCTCTATAGTGTGTACTTGTCTCAATTAAGAGCACAATGGGGTTGATTTACTAAAGGCAAATAAACTGTGCTCTTTGAAAAGCGCAGATGCACGCTGCAAGTGCAGTTTCTCCAGACATTAGTAAATGACGTAAAGCTTCGTTTTACAAAAAATACCCAATCATATGCAAGGAAAATTAAAAAAAAATAGCATTTTTGCTTGCACATGATGGATGATGGAAGTCAGCAAAGCCTCTGCTCATTTATTAAGTTCTGGACAACTGCCCTTGCAGAGTGCAACTGCACTGGCAAAGTGCATAGTCTATTTGCCTTTAGTAAATCAACCCCTATATGTCTATCTGCTGCTTCCTTCCTCTGCTATCAGCACGAGTTACTTCTGATAAGTTTTCCTGACACCAAGAGATAAATGGTGTCAGGGGAGGGACTTGCAAAATTGACAGCCTCAACTCTGTTCCTGTGTGGAGGGGGGGGGGTGTCTCATCCCTCCAATCAGCTCAGAACTCTCCTCACTGGGGTCTTCAGTGGGTAACTTTAGCTCTCTGCCCCCTTTTTGTGAACATTCAGACAAGCCTTAAAATTCAGCACTTTGAAAGGATGTAGAAAAGAGAAGACTGCAGATAAACAGATACAACTTATGTAGTTTTTTTTATCTCTGTGTATCACCTGAGGCCGGTCACTTCATTGGGTATATATAAAGGTTTACAACCACTTTAACTCCTGCATTCTACATTTACACCTAGTAATGCTTGGGATCAAAATCAAAGCTAGCAAAAACCTCATAAAATATACTGACACAAGAAAAACACACACCACAGCCAATAGATGTAAAAATAAAGATACTCTAGATTTCATTTGTTTTTATTCGACATGCACAGCATAAAACTTACAGATTTATTTCCCGATCCATGTAGATAATAATTCAATGCCTGAGCGTCCCTTAAAAAAAGATTTGCACATATTTAGAAACACATTCAATTATATAAAGGATTAACTATCATTTTTCAGCTATGGTGGGATGCTGGTGGGCTGAATTATCCACCAGCTTCTTATATCTCCTCTGGACATAAGGCTGCATTCATAACTAGGTGTTTTGAATTGTGGGCAGAATCGCTGCAAATCAAAACGCTCTACTAAAATGGCAAAACACACAATGCAGATTTCAGATGCCATTCATTTGAATGACACCTAAAAATGTGGTGTGGTTCTGTCGCTATTGTTGTGCGATAAATTGTGCTGCAATCGCGGAACACCACAACGCGTGAAGTTTGTCACCCAAAAATGAGTAGGAGCTTTTGCAGCACAATTTATCACACCACAATCGCTGCAGAATCGCACTGCGTTTTTAGGTGCCATTCAAATGAATGGCATCTGAAGTCCGCATTGTGTGTTTTGCCATTTTAGTAGAGCAACTTGAAATTGCGGGCAGAATCGTGGTGATTCTGCCCACAATTCAAAGTGCCGAGGTGTGAATGCAGCCTTAGTAGCAAAGTCATCTTTCCAGAGTTCCCAGCTCTTTCAGATATGTCAAGAGCCCCATCCCCACTGCTGCAAATGAGAACTTTTTTTGAGAAATTTTGAAGATGTAAAATCTGCAATGTAAATTTAATGAAAAGTCCAAGAATGTAACTTGTAATGTCTGCAGCCAAAAACTCAGGAGCAAAGATCTCTTCCTATACAGTAAGGGTCCCTTCACACTTCAGTGGTCAATTATGGTGCATTACCCTATGTGCATTAAGGTGTGGTATTTTCATTATTATTGTGCATTGGCTTACTGCGTGTTACTACAATATACAACTGAGAAAAAAAACGGATGTAAATGGATAAAAATGGATGTAAACTGACGAAAAACAGATGTAAACAGACGAAAACAGACAAAAAACTGATGAAAAACGGATGTAAACTGATGAAAAATGGATGTAAACTGATGCAAACCGATGAAAAACTGACGTAAACTGATGAAAAAGAAATGTGAACTGATCTGTTTTTTCTTGGAAAAATGTGACTGAAGTGATGAAAAAAACAGAACTCTCGTGTGAAAAAGGCCTAAAATCAAAGTTCATTGACAGGTTTATTTGACCTGCAGTTGACTATCTTCTTGCCTGCTTTAAGTAGATTTTTCAATAGAGACTTGCATATTAAAGTGACCGTAGACCTCTGTAAAGAAAAATGATCAAAGCATATCCTTCTATAGTTTGTACTTGCCTCTATCCAAAGCACCTACTGTGATTTCTGTCTCCTCCCTCATTCCTCTGCTATGTGCATGAGTCACTTCTGACAGCCTATGCCCACACCTGACAATCCCTGGAGATGGCATCGCCCCTCCAGCATTCAGCATGTGACTGGCAGCTTCAGCAGTGCATGTTTCTCTATGAGACTGTATAAAAAAGGGTGTGTCCATTCCCTCCACTCAGATCTCAAATTACAAACATCAGTTCCCTGTCCCCTGCCTTCTGAAGCTAAGGAAAGCTATATCAAATGTGTGCTTTAGAAGGCTGTAGAGGAGGGAGGGCTGCAGATAAACGCAGCTTATGTAGGAGGATTTGTTTCACCTAATTACTTCACATAAGGCCACTGGATATATGTAATAGTTTACAACGACTTTAATGCAAAACCCCCTTGAAGCAAACAAAAGTCCATCGACGCAGACCGTACAGCTCCACCTGTTGGCTGCACATGCTAAATATGAAATATACCTAACTGAAAAATATGAATAAAATACTTACCAGCTTTAATCTTTATTCCTAAACATAATAAATACATACACTATGCAAATTGGCAGCAAAGATACAGTATGCATGTGCAGTGGCATCTTTAGGTATCCGCAGATGTTCGATCAGTTTCAATAAAGTATTCACCTTGGATGAAGTATTGAGCAAAGTACTGGCTGTGCACTTCAGCGAATGCACAAAGTGAGAAGCAGACAATTTCAAATACTAATCAGACTATAGGTGACCATCCAGCTCTTTTAGCTCTTATCCAGTCTGCTTCTTTATCTCACCACTCTGTAACATGCACTCCCTACTCCTCCTTCTCACAGTTGTATCCAGTCTCTTCAAACTCTCTCTCCTTTATCCCTCTTCTCCACCCCACAACTTATTCATATCATCCTCATTCCTGTCTTCACCTTACTACTGTACTCATCAACTCCTTCTAATTCTGAACTCACACATTAATAAAACCTCCATGTCACTGGAACCTGTCCCTTCATAGAAGTCTTACTCCCATATTACATCCCTCACCCTTCATTTCCCCAAATCCCGGGCCGCCATCTTTTTCCTTTTATCAGCATACCCAGCACCCCCTATCCTCTAACTGTACCTTCAATCCACACAATCTAATTACTATTCCTCTTCTTCCTAGAACCAGCCTCCTTTTTTCCTGTGCCCTCTGGAATGCCCACTCTGTCTGTAACAAACTCACCTCTGTCCTTGACCTTTTTATCACAATCTCCTTTAACTTGCTGGCTTCATGAATCTGACTTTCCCTCTCCTGCTGCCCTCTCCTCTGGTGGTCTCCTCTGGACTCACTCTCCCAGGCCTAGTGGACGGAAAGGAGGTGGCGTTGGAATCCTCCTATCCCCTCAAAACACTTTTCAGGGCCTTCATTCACCTCCCTCTCTGTCCCTCTCTCCTCATTTGAAGTTCACTCTATTCATCTATTTTCTCCAGTTTCTTTAAGAATTGCTGTGATCTATCAGCCTCATGGACCGGTATCAAGCTTCCTTGATGACTTTTCTGCCTGGCTGCCTTACTTTCTCTCTTCTGAAATTCCCACAATCATTCTTGGTGACTTCAACATCCCTGTTAATCTTAACACTCCTGCTACCTCTAAACTTCTGACCCTAACCTCTTCTTTTGACTTAAAACAATGGACACATGCTGATACTCACTCTAATGGTAACTTTCTCAACCTTGTATTCTCCTACCTATGCAGTCCTTGCAACCTCACCAACTTTCCTTTTCCTCTCTCTGATCACTCCCTTATTATCTTCACTCTCTCCTTGGCTTCCTCCTCCTTGGCTTCCAACTACCAAACAGCTACCTGTAGAAACCTTCGCTATCTTAACCCTTCTCTTCTTTTTTCGTCAACAGGTTGTCTCTATGACAAAATCTCAGCCCTGTCCTGCCCCAACCTGGCCACTTCTGTCTACAACAGTTCACTGTCCACCATGGACACATTGCCCCCCCTCACTACACACAGAATTAGGCCACTACAGCCCTGGAAAACAGACAATACCAGATGCCTCAAAAAACATAGCCGTTCTCTTGAGCATTTACGGCGTAAGACTAAGACCCAGCAAGACTTCGATCAATATAAATCTGCCCTGCAAAAATATAATTCTTGTCTCCACATTGCCAAACAGATCTATTTTTATCACTCTGATTAACACCCTCTCACGTAATCCCCGTCAACTCTTTTCTTCCTTTAACACTCTACTTCGTCCTTCTTTATCTTCACCCACTAACTCACTTACTGCCCAGGAGATTGCTAATCACTTAAAAAATAGGATTGATACAATTCGTGAGGAGATCTCCACTGTACAGATATCTTCCTCATCCTACACTTCTTGTCCACCAGACATCTCCCTCACCCTACACTCCTTGTCCACCTGCACAATCTATAGTTCCCTTTTTTAACCCAGCTACTATAGAGGAGGTTGGTAAACTTTTTTCTAAAGCCCACCTAACCACCTGTCCCCTGGACCCTGCTTCCTTGCAAATACTACGGTCACCCTCTGGCTCTATCCTTCACTCTTTAACTCATATCTTCAATCTCTCCCTTTCTACTGGCATCTTCCCCAACTCTCTAAAACATGTGCTAGTCACCCCCATACTTAAAAAGGCCTCACTGGATCCCACCAATCTTAGCAACCTAAAACCCATCTTCTTACTCCCTTTTGCCTCCAAACTCCTTGAACGTCTAGTCTACAACCGGCTGAGCTTTCACCCCATTGAGAATAACCTTCTCGATCTCCTTCAGTCTGGATTTTTCCCACAACACTCCACAGAAACTGCTCTCTTAAAACTCACAAACGACTTACTAACCGCTAAAACCAATGGTCGCTATTCTGTACTTTTACTTTTGGACCTCTCCGCTGCCTTTGACACAGTAAACCACTTCCGCTTCCTCAAAAAACTCTACTTGGCCTTCGAGACTGTACTCTCTGTTGGTTCTAATCTTACCTATATGACCTCACCTTCAGTGTCACTTTAAACTCTACTTCCTCCTCTCTTACTCCTCTTATTGTCGGGGTCCCCCAAGGTTCTGTCCTTGGACCTCTTTCTATTCTCGAACTACACTTCTTCGACTCGACTACTGCAACTTCCTCCTCATTGGCTTACCTTTTACATAGGCTATCCCCCTCCAGTCCATCATGAATACTGCTGCAAGGCTCATCCACCTTACCAACCGTTCAGTGTCTGCTACCCCTCTCTTCCAATCCCTCCACTGGCTTCCTCTCACCCAACGAATAAAATTCAAAATACTAACAACAACTTACAAGGCCAGCCACAACTCTGCCCCCAGCTACATCACCAACCTGGTCTCAAAATATCAACCAAACTGCTCTCTTCGATCCGCCCAAGACCTTATACTCTCTAGTTCCCGTGTCACCCCCTTCCATGCTCGCCTCCAGGACTTCTGCTGAGCTTCTCCAATCCTATGGAACTTCCTACCCCAATCTGTCTGGCTATCTTCTAATCTATCCACCTTTAGACGATCCCTAAAAACCTCTCTTGTTAAAGAAGCCTATCCTGCTTCTACCTAGTAAACGGACATTTATTTCCTCCATCAGCTTATCCCCTCACAGCTATTACCTTTTGTATCACTCAACCCTTCCTCCTAGATTGTAAGCTCTAACGAGCAGGCCCTCTGTTTCCTCTTGTACCAAATTGTATTGTAACTGTAATGTCTACCTTCATTTTGTAAAATGCGCTATATAAATCCTGTATATTAATAATAATAATAGACTTACCCAGTGTGCCCAACTTTCCTATAGAGCGTAAAGCTGAACTCAGACACAGCTGATAATGTACATGCATGAAAATTTTTTATCTGCAGATTCTCTGATCTGTGATCTAAGCACCCATGCCACGGCACAATTTGGTAAAAATCACTTAGATGGTGAAGGAGCAGAGCAGTGATAGGTCAGCATTCTCCTCCTTCTCCACTTTCATCTTCTCATCGGGTTCACCATTGCCCAATTTTCTAACCTAAAGCTGACCTCCAGCTTTGCTTTCAGTCTTGCACAGTTGTGCAGGCTCCTCTACAGTACTGAAAGTGCTTACTCTGATTTCACTGCACACTTTGAGCCTTTTGCAGTGTGCATTAGAAGATGCAGCAAGTCAGATAGACCCCCACTTCCTGGCTGGGGGACATTCAGCATCATCTAATCCTTTCCTCCCTGGCCTGACTGTCCCTGACCCACCCATTTAATTTAATGAATCTCAGTGCTTTCAGCCATCGAGAGAAAACAGGGGGTATTTGGAGCAATGCGTGTTGTGTGTATACTGATGACAAAATGAGCTCAGCAAAAAGTCTATTGCGAACATCTGGAGCGACGTCTTGCTGGACTCAGACACTTGATGCAGCACCTCCTTAGAGACTCCAATAAATATGTTTTATATTACACTTAGATTGTGCTCCTCTATCTTTTAATCATGGAGGCTCATCCCATATGGAAGAAAAATATATTTGAAATACTACAATTTTGGCCATATTCAATATATTTCAAAATTTATTTGAATAAATATATATTAAAAAATCTGAAGAATACAGGTGAAACTCAAAAAATTAGAATATCGTGCAAAAGTTCATTTATTTCAGTAATGCAACTTAAAAGGTGAAACTAATATATGAGATAGACTCATTACATGCAAAGCAAGATAGTTCAAGCTGTGATTTGTCATAATTGTGATAATTATGGCTTACAGATCATGAAAACCCCAAATCCACAATCTCAGAAAATGAGAATATTGTGAAAAGGTGCAATATTCTCGGCTCAAAGTGTCCCACTCTAATCAGCTAATTAAGCCATAACACCTGCAAAGGGTTCCTGAGCCTTTAAATGGTCTCTCAGTCTGGTTCAGTAGGAATCACAATCATGGGAAAGACTGCTGACCTGACAGTTGTGTAGAAAGCCATCGTTGACACCCTCCATAAGGAGGGAAAGCCTCAAAAAGTAATTGCAAAAGAAGTTGGATGTTCCCAAAGTGCTGTATCAAAGCACATTAATAGAAAGTTATGTGAAAGGGAAAAGTGTGGAAGAAAAAGGTGCACAAGCAGCAGGGATGACCGCAGCCTGGAGAGGATTGTCAGGAAAAGGCCATTCAAAAGTGTTGGGGACTTTCACAAGGAGTGGACTGAGGGTGGAGTCAGTGCATCAAGAGTCACCACACACAGACGGATCCTGGACATGGACTTCAAATGTCGTATTCCTCTTGTCAAGCCGCTCCTGAACAACAAACAACGTCAGAAGCCTCTTACCTGGGCTAAAAAAAACCAGACCTGGCCTGTTGCTCAGTGGTCCAAAGTCCTCTTTTCTGATGAGAGCAACTTTTGCATCTCATTTGGAAACCAAGGACCCAGAGTATGGAGGAAGAATGGAGAGGCACACACTGCAAGATGCTTGAAGTCCAGTGTGAAGTTTCCACAGTCTGTGTTGATTTGGGGAGCCATGTCATCTGCTGGTGTTGGTCCACTGTGCTTCATTAAGTCCAGGGTCAACGCAGCCGTCTACCAGGAGATTTTGGAGCACTTCATGCTTCCTTCCGCAGACGAGCTTTATGGGGATGCTGACTTCATTTTCCAGCAGGACTTGGCACCTGCCCACACTGCCAAAAGCAACAAAACCTGGTTCGATGACCGTGGGATCACTGTGCTTGATTGGCCAGCAAATTTGCCTGACCTGAACCCCAAAGAGAATCTATAGGGCATTGCCAAGAGAAAGATGAGAGACATGAGACCGAACAATGCAGAAGAGCTGAAGGCCGCTATTGAAGCCTCCTGGTCTTCCATAACACCTCAGCAGTGCCACAGGCTGATAGCTTCCATGCCACGCCGCATTGAGGCAGTAATTGCTGCAAAAGGGGCCCAAACCAAGTACTGAGTACATATGCATGCTTATACATTTCAGAGATCCGATATTGTTCTATGTACAATCCTTGTTTTATTGATTGCATGTAATATTCTAATTTTCTGAGATTGTGGATTTGGGGTTTTCATGAGCTGTAAGCCATAATCATCACAATTATGACAAATCACGGCTTGAACTATCTTGCTTTGCATGTAATGAGTCTATCTCATATATCAGTTTCACCTTTTAAGTTGCATTACTGAAATAAATGAACTTTTTCACGATATTCTAATTTTTTGAGTTTTACCTGTATATTTAAAAAATATATATATTTTTAAAATATTATTCAGATTTTATTTAACATATAAAGAAAATAATTTTTAACATATATTTTTTACACATACTTGTAAATGCATTAAAAAAATGTAGAATTGATTCTTTACAGACATACTGTATATTTGAAAATGTATTTTTAAAAATATTTTTCATATATTTTGTAATAAAAATGCATTTCAACATACAGTATATATATATATATATATATATATATATATATATATATATATATATACACACTGCATGTTGAAATGCATTTTTATTTCAAAATATATGAAAAATTGTTTTAAAAATACATTTTCAAATATACTGTATGTCTTTAAAAATACAAATCTACATTTTTGGAATGCATTTACAAATATATGTAAAAATATATGTTAAAAATGACTTTTATATATGTTAATATATGTTATATTTTTTAAAATATATTCTTTAGATTTTTTTTATATATATTTATTGAAATATATTTTGAAATATATTGAATATGGCCAAAATTGTAGTATTTCAAATAAATGTCAATATATTTGGGAAGAATTATTTTAAAATATATTTCAAATATATTTTTTTTTTTCCATGTGGGAGCACCCTATGTAGGCATTGAATAGATGGGCTGACATGCAAATGCTGCCTGCCTAAGAATGCCCACTATTGAGGAATGATATCTACCTATCAAGGCATTTAGATACAGTATTTGCATAACTTCTCTCAGTAGCCAGTCCACTGCTTATATTAGGTCTGATGGCCCTTGAGAGGAGTAGTGGCTGAGGCAGGGTATTGTAATGTTTTCAGAAAGCATCAGCCAGGAACTGCTTACATTGCATAGAGAAGCAAAGAGATGTAGTTATGACATCACTGAATAAAATGTTCATGAAAACAGGAAGGTTTAATTTAAAAATGTCATTACCATGCAATTGAGAAAAGGGAGAAAGTAACAGAAAACTGACATGACATTACAACGATGATATGCATATAGTAAATAGTACACTTACCCAATAAAATCGAGAAGCCCAGCGTCATCATCATCGTCCATGTCAGCTACATAAAAAAATGCACTTTCCTTTAATGCATGCATATTTATGGCAAGATTTGTTCTGTGATAAAACTGGATGTAGACAATTATGTTCAACTGTAAACTCGTTTATAATCTTGGTAGATGTTCTAATATTGAGAATAGTAAGATGCAACGTATAACAAACAATTATGTCAGAGAGAGCTCAGGCGGCTGCCAATCCTTAAACACAGGTCAGAAGAGTCACCATTGGACAGCTTAATTGGTAATGTAAATAAAGACAAACATTTTTTACTTCATTAATTGCAGAAAGTACCTCGTGTTCCAAAGCTTTACCACATCTTTTCCACATGCCAATCATATGAGACTCCATTTAGAAATGAAGTCAGCACGTTCATTGTAACAAATAAAGACTCCTCTGCCTCTTTAGAATATTGTCTTGCATGTCAAGAAACCTGTAAAAAAAAATGGAAAAGTTACAAAATAGTTTTTTAAAAGTGGAAGTCTAGTTTTTAAAAAATTTTCCAATCTCCCCTTTTTTAATGACATCACCCAGGGGTCGGGTTTTATATATATATATATATATATATATATATATATATATATACAGTGAGGAACAGAAGTATTTGAACACCCTGCGATTTTGCAAGTTCTCCCACTTAGAAATCATGGAGACAAATACATTCTTTAAAAATCATACAATGTGATTTCCTGAATTTGTTTTTAAATTCTGTCTCTCAGAGTGGGAATGCACCTACAATGTGAATTTCAGACCCCTCCAAGATTTCTAAGTGGGAGAACTTGCAAAATCGCAGGGTGTTCAAATACTTCTGTTCCTCACTGGATCTGTATATAGATATGATATATATACTATATTGCCAAAAGTATTGGGATACCTGTCTTTATTTACACACACATGAACTTTAATGATATCCCAGTCAATATTGAGTTGGCCCCGCCCTTTGCAGTTATAACAGCTTCAACTCTTCTGGGAAGGCCGTCTACAAGGTTTAGGAGTGTGTCTATGGGAAGGTTTGACCATTCTTCCAAAAGCACATTTGTGACGACAGGCACAGATGTCGGGGGAGGAGGCCTGGCTTCGCAGTCTCTGCTCTAATTCATCCCAAAGGTGTTCTTTGGGGTTGAGGTCAGGACTCTGCAGGCCAGTCAAGTTCCTCCACCCCAAACTCATCCATGTCTTTATGGAGCTTGCTTTGTACACTGGTGCGCAGTCATGTTGGAACACAGGAAGGGGCCATTCACAAACTCTTCCCAAAGTTGGGAACATGAAATTGTCCAAAATGTCTTGGTAAGCTTGTGCCTTAAGAGTTCCCTTCATTGGAACGAAGGGCCAAGCCCAAACCCTGAAAGACAACCCCACACCATAATACCCCCTCCACCAAACTTTACACTTGGCACAATGCAGTCAGGCAAGTACTGTTCTTCTGGCAACCGCCAAACCCAGACATGTCCATTGGATTGCCAGTCAGAGAAGAGTGATTCATCACTCCAGAGAACATGTCTCCACTGCTCTAGAGTCCAGTGGCGGTGTGCTTTACACCACTGCATCCGACGCTTTGCATTGCACTGGGTGATATAAGGTTTGGATGCAGCTGCTCAGCCATGGAAACCCATTCCATGAAGCTCTCTACACACTGTTGTTGTGCTGATCTGAAGGCCACACAAAGTTTGGAGGTCAGGGAAATGTCAGGGATGGACTTATTGCACAGGTGGTGACCTATCACGGTACCATGCTTGAAATCAGTGATCTCCTGAGAGCGACCCATTCTTTCACAAATATTTGTAGAAGCAGTCTGCATGCCTAAGTGCTCTATTGTATACACCTATAGCCATGGAGGTGATTGGAACACCTGAATCCAATGGTTTGGAGGGGTGTCCCAAGTCCCAATACTTTTGGCAACATAGTATATATATATATATATATATATATATATATATATATATATTTACACTATTGTTATAACATGCTATTGTTAAACCAATAAGTGTCTGTAGAAGGCTAGTTTTGCTGTCCTTTAATACAATGGGGGAACAAAACTCTTGTGGTGTACAATATGTGGGCAAGGTAAACTATAGGCCAGGAAAGTATTCATTTTCGGCTTTACCCATTGATTTACAGGAGCTTTAGTCAAACACTGGGCTTAATTTTAGTTCTCTCAATAAGAATCAACAATAGCCTGACTCTTTGACATACTTGAGCTTTTACATATATGGTACTATGCTTTAGCTTGAAGTTTAAGGCAGAAATGTATTCCTCACTGAAACTGATGTAGGAACTAAATTTAAAAGTGATATGCCCATGTGTGAATGGCTACCAAACTTTCCAAGATAAAAAAGCAAGCTACACAAGCTGAAAGCAGGACTCCAGCCATACTGCAAGACTTAGAACACAGCCCACACCAAGAAACCATTTTTCTGAAAAATGCCATGAAATGGCCTGGAGTTCTGTTTGCTATAGAAATCATAGACCAGCTATAATGGAACGTAACTGACTTTTAGTTCATGACTATGGCGTAGACTGGTGTATTTGCTAGGAAAGGATAGGTAGTGTGTGCATATGTGTATGTATGCAGATTTATAGTACTCTGTTTGTCTTGTATTGTTTTCCTGTAACTGTAAATAATTTGTTAACGCAACATTCTTGTTTAGTAAAGACACATAAATATACTGCTGTGTAGTTTTCTTGGCTTTATTTCATTTATGGAAAAAACAGCAAGAATCAGTAAAACAGCAGGTCCACAATAACTTAGGCTGAGAAGAAGTGATGTGAAAAAGTCCTGAGGGCCCATTCATACCTGCATTAGCTTCCTTGGAGGACAGGTGAGACATTAGGGGTCTTTTAGACCCCTGATGTCTCATAAAAGAACTTGTCACCAAAAAAAATAAAACATCACATAGGAGATTTTTTTTCCCCTAAGTCATGAAAAAAAGGTTTAGTGAAAAATATTGTTAAGAAAGTGTAAACAAAATTAGTTCCATCCAAGCACTTAAAATCCGCCCCATAAAATGTTAGGCCCCACACACACATAAATGCACATGTTAAGTGCGCCTACGTATGAAAACATTTATTGCACTACACACGTTACATATCTCCATGCAAGCAGGAGTGAGAGCAATAACTCTAGACCCATTATCCATGAATAACTCTGAAGCTTTCAAAGCGCCTATGGAAAATATAGGGTGCCAAAGTGTGTCACCATTTTCACATGCAATCTTAAGGCTTGACATGTTGGGTATCTATTTCCTTGACACAACCTCATCCTTTGTATTTTGCCAAAAATGTAGATAATACAATGCGTTTATGTGACCTAAAATTAACTTTTGTGTACTTGTTACTGAAATTTTATTTTTCAGAAACTGTTGCGCTAATACCGTTCATTCTCTAGGGGGTCTGCTTTCAGAAAATATTTTTTTTTGGGGGGGGGGGAGGGATTATATAATCATATTTTAAACATGTGTGCAAAAAAAGGCCAAAATGGCTCTGACAGCGAAAGGGTTGAATCTTTAATATTTTTTTTCTTAGATCTTGCCATAAAGGTCCTTGTTCAGGCATTTCTTGTTATGGAATGATAACTGTCCTCCAGCTGTTCTCCTGCGTAGTCATCCTTTCACATGCACCCCTCACTGTCACTAAGAAGTAGCAGCACCGGCACACAATGCTCCGGTATGGTCCACCTTTCTCACTATCAGTAAACCACTCCAGAGTAATAATGTGCAGTTGATACAAACGTGAGTGCATATAGGTAGTACGTGGATGCAAAAAGCTGTGGAAGATCAGAAATGCCGCAAACAATGGATGAAGAAAAAGATGAAAGACATTTTTTTAATGGAAGAAAATATGACAGATACTTAGGGTACAGAGAGCTAGAGCAAACCTAATGTCATCTAGTAAGGAATGAAATCTACTATAAAGCTGAACTAAATCCTCCTATACTTTACAGCCAAGGAAGCTGCCATATTAGCCTCTGTTTGATCTGAAGATGCCATGGTGCTGCACATGTGCTCAGTTATGACACCAGCCATTTGATAGTTTGACAGTTCTAACATGAGCACTCTAATCCCTTTAACAGTTGCCATTTTAGGTAAGCCTTGAATGTAACTGTTCCTCTTTAGGCTTTCACACAAGCGTTTTTGTGTTAAAAAAAAAGCATCTGAAAAGCTCAAGAAAAATGCTTCCTTGTGTATGTGAATGTATATCTATGTATGTTTTCACACTGGGGTTTTGCGCTTGTGGTGTGGTGTAAAAACTCCTGCTTGCAGCATCTTTGGGGCATGTTTGGGGAGTTAACAAATACAAAACCCAAAAACGCCTCTTCCCATTGAAATCAATGGAAAATACCTGAAAAACACCTCAAAAAAACCTCTGAGAAGCATTTATGGTGCAGATTTTAAGTCACGTGTTCTTTAAAAATGCTCAGAAAGCACAGTAAAAATGCATATGCGTTTTTGCAGCAGATCAGTGTGAAAGTAGCCTTAAGGTAATAAACGGATGTTTTTTTTTAATCTATTATACTATTCATATAAAGTTTTTATTTTACAGGATTTACCTATAACACTGCATTCACACAGTCAAGTTTTTTCTAAAAAAAAAAAAAAAAAGAAAAAAAAAAGAAAGCATAGCAAAAACTGTTTGAATTCAGACACTCTGCAACATAAACATCAACAGAAAGGCTGAGAGAATGACTTGAATAGCTTTAATGCTTCTGCTGTGACCCTTTAGGATGAATGGTTCCACAGTTGCCTGCAGCTACAGAAGTTAGTGAAGGATTGTTATAAAGCTCCTTTACTGGTTATAATAATTTTGAAATATTTCCATATACAGTACATATAGTCTGGTCACAGTTTCATTTTAAAGCTACCTGAAGATTCAAATAATTGTATCTGTAATTTGTATCTATATTTGTATCTGTTTCCCAAATTGACAGCCTATGCAAGGCAGCAAGGGAATTACTTGGCTCACGGTGCATATAAGCTTCTTTTAAATGAATGCAGCCACAGACACATCCC